AAGAGATCTATATTCAGAGAGTTCTGTCTAATTACCTCCTACTGTTGTCTCTAACTTCTAGTTCTTCCATGTATTCTGGTAAAGTCCACAGACTATTTATTTTCATATACATATTTTTATTGTTAGAAATCTTATTCCCAACAGTCTTCTCCAGCTGTCTGCTTCCCTATCTTCCTTTTCATTTCCTCAAAGGAATCACGGTGCGGTGATCGTTTATTTTAACGGAATACTTTTTCAAAATCTTAAATTACTGGTGTCTGAAGGTTTTTTCTTTTCCTTCACGTTCCCCAGTGGAACATAGGGCTCCATATTACTGCCAAAAAAGATTTTTTTAATCTTTTTTATTACAGCTTGATTCCACACCGCATTTTTGATGCAAGTATGGAATTTTCAGCATGTAATATCTGGAGCCAAAATTTTGCAGGCCGACCATTGATATCAGGTGTGCGTCGGCAGGGGATCGAACCCAGGACCGTTTGCATAGTCGGTGAGGGTCCTAACCTCTGTGCCACCGACGCACAAGCAGATGATTTCAAGTGATTTTGAAATCTTTTGGTAAGTGTATGGTCACACAGTTAGGACGGTAAGTTTACGCCATCTACAATCTCATGATGGAACGACTTCATGAATAATTCTTCCACTGTGATACTGTTTGCATAGGGCACAGAAATCATCACTTAACTTGTGTATATACTGAAAGTCATAAGTGTTGCGTTAAATAAACAGTAACACAAAATTCAGAGGATTTACAATGCACATAGGTGTTTTCTTGGTTACAGTGTGATATTTGGGAGTATAACTCATAAAACTTAGAATGACGGTTCGTCAGTACAAACATACTTCGGCAAATGTTTGATTAAATTCAGTTCACACTTATTACACTTATAACTTTTGGGCTTTTTTCCATTCTTTTGCCTCCTGAATGGAAAATAATAATAATAATAGCTTTATTCCAAACAGTATTTGTGGTACAGGTATGGAATTTTCAGCGTGCATTACAATATTGCATCTAATTACCTCATACATTTTTGTAAGATTTTAAAAATAAAAAGCAACAACTACAAAGAGGAAAAAGATAAATAAAAGAAATAAAAGAGAACAGCATTGCATTCACATTTTAAACAATGCACCACAGGATATGAAATATAAAATTAGTGTGTAATAGAATATGTGAGCAACAATGTAATAGCAACAAAGAAAGGAGAACAAAAGCTAATGGGAACTATTTGTTAGAGTGCCGCAGTAAGTTGATCGTGTCATATCTAACAGTTTTCTCATCACATAACAGCTGTGCCAGATAAAGTATTGTGGAGTTTTTGTACTTGGTAGTCCTGGCATATAGCCTCCTATAGTTGCTTCTAGTTCTACCAGATGAAATGCAAGGAAAGAGCTGCGTTTAGAGAGGGTGTTCGGGGTCTGACAATATAGAATTCGCTAGTTTCTTACATGACATTAAATGTCTATCCACAATGGTGTTAACCAGTTGGTTTAACGAAATCCCACTTCCCCTACTAACAGCTTTTAGTGCCCTATGCAGCAAAGCAAAATCTTTCTTAAGTAGTCCAGGGAAGATTAATGGGGAGCAGTAAAGAGGGATGGTTAGGATACAAGAATTGACAAACTGAGAAAGCAAAGACTGCTTTATACCAGACTGCCTAAACTTCCTAACGTAGAACGTTAAGCGAAACATCTTTCTAGTCACTAGCAAGATGTGAGAGGACCAGGAAAGATCGGAGGAAATACTCAGTCCAAGGTACTTGACATGAGATGTAGTTTCAACTTCTATGCCGTCAATGATAGTGGGACCATGTGAGCTAGCTAGTTGTTGTAGGTCACGTTTTCGTCTGAAAGTGAAATTTACTACCTGAAATTTAGACGGATTCAGCTTAAGATCGTTTGAAGAGGACCACTGACTAATTTCCGAGAGAAAGTTATTTAATTTCGAACAATCTGACGGAGAGTTGATAGGCATAGAGACAGAGAGGTCATCAGCATACTTGACAAAAGTGGCTACATCAGAATGGGGCAAGTCATGCAAGAAAAAACAATACAGAAAAGGAGAAAGAACAGCACCTTGAGGAACACCAGCTAAAGTAAGTGAGGTAGTGGAGGACTTTCCATTTTAGACGGTGTACTGCTTCCTATCAGGAAAATAGGAATGCAACCACTTATTTGTCCAGCTCTCGGCCTATGTTAGGGAGTATTGCTCATAGGTTTCACTGGGAGTAGTGTTGTTACTTCACCTATGTGGGTTCGCTAGCCTCACTCCAAAAGTCTCCTCTTTTCCTGGTTTACAAGCATCTAGTAAAGTAGGCCTGATTCAAGGGTGCATCAGTCTAGAATCGACCCCTTAACCTCTGGCGTGGTCAGTAAGCATTTCACCACTGAATTGATGAGTCACGTTTGAGTATTTTGGTGAAGTATGAACTCCTCTTGCAATGGCTTTTGGGAACTTTCAAACTGCTAGAGATGGTGAGACTTTTAACTCTTTGTTAAAGGAAATAATTATAAAAACGTATCAAGATTGTTTGTAACTAAAACGCTTTGAGAATAACTTCCTACTATTCAAAGAAGCAGATGTTTCTGTTCCATCAGAAAGACGTTCGCAGGATGGCATCACTATATTCAGATGCATCTGCAGAGATGGTGACTTCATGATCAGGATAATAACAAGTGAGAACACTGATTTTATTCTGAATAAAGCATTTCGGCATGCACAGAACCCATTCATTTCAAAATAGCAAATAATATAATGGGATATACAGAAAATGAAACGTTGCAAATAAGACCCTGAAATAGATGACGTGAACAAGAAAAAAGATTTGTGGGAGTAGTAATCTACTGAAGAGCACGCACATTTTCCGGGCGTTATGGATATCCTTCTTTATCTAAGGTGAATAGCAGATAATTAGTCGGATTTATGAAAAAGACGTACTTTTCTTCCTTGACATAAGAACCAAAACCTGATATTTTGAACGGCACGGAGATGAAGACTATCGAACGCTTATGACCTACTTGCTTCTAGAAATTATCACATTCTCAAGGCCTACTGTAACTCAAGGTTGTTTAGTAGTTTCAAAATTGAGAATGGAAGCCAGATCCTGAAATGATGTAGTCAATATTATGAACTTGAATGTTTTACACGAATGACAAGTTTCAAAACTGTTCGGGCTGAAATTTGCATCATGCCTCTGAAATCATAGCTTCATCTACTTATAACCTATTTAGGCACATAAATAAAACATATCTGTGGAATGTACTACTGAAAAGCGTTATCACTAGTATATAGCAAAAAATACAAAATACCAAATAGTGAAGAGATAGATTTGACGTCAAAGAGAGGAAATAATGAGCCAGTATTGCGGCAAAATATGAGAGATAAAAAGACATAATCTGAAGGCCAGACGTAGCACAACACGGAAGATCTGTGCAAATTACGATTTTGATATATGGTATGTTTAATTTTCCTATTTATGCATATCAGCTAATGTAATGTGTCCAGAATTCAGTCTGCACCAAAGAAATGACTAGGCACATTACACCAGTTACCAACTAGTGTGTTGAATCAAAGTGCCCAATACATTCCCTTACAGGAGGTCATTCGCGAGACCGAATAGCTGAGTGGTAACGTCGCTGACTGAAGCACCGGGCGGTGATGTGGGTTCGAATCTCAGAACGGACGTGAATTCCCTCAGGGTTACAGATACGCCTTGCTGACTGGTGAGCGTCAACTAGCACGAACCCCTAACCACATGAGGAATAGCTGACAAGCATTCTACTGCCGTGCCACCAGCACACGATAATAAAGTTAGCAGGACAAATAAAAATAATATTATTTACAGTTATCTGGTGTCAACGGAAGAGATACCTATTTTTGGTTTGAGAGGAACGCCAATGGAGGGAGAGAAAGTGGAAGGACATTTCCTGAACACAAAGAGTGGATTGAAGAATCTCCATCACAACTTCCTCACCTATACGTAGCAATCGAGTGAGTACAAATTCAGGGAACTGGAGTGACACCTTGTGTAGGATTGTAAATGCCGAATTCTAATCAGTCTTGTCCTCCGTATCCAAAAGTGGGTGTACCAATAGGGGAACTCCTGATTCACTTTATGACTATTTCACCCGACCGTATCGGACAATGCTGATGGAGGCGACGGTTGGCTTACCAAGTCCTTCTACTTGTGTAGCCGTCACCGTATGAACAGTTAAAATTGTAAACGTACACTTCAGTAGCCAGCCTCGGTAGCTCATCATTCACCTGTGTTGGAATATTACAACGAGTGATGAATTTTGAACGTAGTGTTATGTCATAGAATGTCTTAACTATAATTTTGTGGAGTCTGAATGCGAATAATTCAGTGTTCGTGTCTTCTTTAGCCAATAAGGTCATATACATACGTTTGTTCTGCACAGTGGCTTGTAGGTATTTCTCTCTATCTGTTTTCATCATGATTTAAAGTATGTCTGCCAGCAATCTAGCTACTTCATGAAACTGTGAGTTGAACATATTTAATATGAGTCTTAGTGGCGCGTTGGACTTATGAATTTTAGGTAGCCCACACATTATAGGTATATTTGTTCCTAAACACTATATACGTTCAGGAATTCCAGGGGACAACTATGTGACTGGATACCGAAGCTTTTTAAAAACTACCTCCGGTACACCAGTCATATATCGTGTGTTGACACTTTCAGACGTGATAATATAATTATTATTATTATTCCCTTGGGTTCCTAGTGGAACATATGGCTTCAACTGCACGTCTCCACTTGCTTCTGTCTTCTGCTGTACTTTTCACCTGCATCCATGTTATTCCATACTGTTTCAACTCCTCCCCCTCGCCTAGATTACTAGCTCGCTAGTTTTCTAGCCGGTCCCAAGCCTGGATAAAGAGGGAGGGTTGGGGTGTGCTGCTAGCAACTCCATCCCCAAAACTTAACCAAATTGCTACAGAAACTTCAACGCATAAATATATATTAAAAATACTAAAAATATAGACGTGATAATAACACAACATAAAAAGTTTAAATCATTCGAATCAATTGTATTTGGTTATGGCAAAATTGATGAGTTTAGGTTATTAATAAGAAAATGTTTTAATGTGAAGTGGGTTTTATTGTCAATGGTCACTGCGTTGCTGTGAATGTAACAGTTGGTTTCAAGTAACCAGGTCTGAAATGAATTAAGAAAAATAAAGTGTATGGAGAGAAGTTCATTACACCAACGTGTCACACACACACACACAAAAGAGAGACTAAAACTTAGTGATTTCATACGTGAAAATAACCAGTAACTTACATAAGATGAAGGGTTGTCACATTCACTTCATGCGACATTCATTTTTCTAGCGTACAATGCTAATTTCTTTTCCACAGCCTATAAAAACAAAAGTAGGAAGCGGGTAGAAAGCATTGTAGACAATGTATATATATATATATATATATATATATATATATATATAGGAAATACAACGTACCTCATTCATGAATTCGGTATAACTAATAAGGCTGTTTTTAGCAACATGTAAATAACGTCGAAGTGATTGACTCAAGTTTATGTCAATTTTCTTGACTGGTTTCGTCATGTAAATTTTATCCATCAGGTAGTGTTCATATTCGTCACAGTGTTCAATTTTCACCAGTCTTGAATTGTTTAGCCATGGTCTAACCCATATTTCCACAGTACAGTTAAGTGCAGCCTGGGTAAAATGTGAAGAGAGTTGGAAATTTTTAGTATACTTCGATTTAACAAACAAAAAGATCATTATGGTTAGGAGCACTTTGCAGTCGATAAAATTCCTTACCTGTCAAATACTCTGTATTCAGTGATTTCAGTATCGTGGTTTCTACAATCTACTGTGCCATGTGCTACTGAAACGTTTTATAAGTAGTATACAGATGCAGACATAAATGTGTATGCTATCTGCATGAATATCGAATAGTGGAGAGATGGATTTCATGAACATTGCTTGAGAAACAACACAGGAAACACGGAATGCAGACAAAGAAGAACACTATGGAAGACATGACAGCACAATACCAGAAACTTGTGAGAATTGCGATACAAATATATGGTACACGTACGTTGAGTTGCCAACAAATAAATCTGTCGCCATACACTCTTGCATTCTGTCGTTACTTATAAACACACTTTATCTCACCGTAACATAACACAATGAAAACAATTAGAGAATTGTCATGTCAAAATCAACAGCGACTGACTAGAATTTTTTCTTGAGTGATTAATTTGAATCTTTAAGCAAGTCACTTTGTGAAATACTCAAGAGCTCTGTGAATATGAGTGGACGGCACTCCCTCGAGGCTGTGGATCAATTATAACCGCCAAATATTCTAGAAAGGTGAAGTCCTCTGTTATCTCTCATTTCGGTTAGATGTCCAATAAAGTTCATGACAATGCATCACTCATGAAGATCTCAGAAAGTGACACATGCAGGTTAGTGGTTTCATTACCTTCAATTTACAGGGAAAATAGGCCAGCTGAATACAGTATGCCTTCTAACACACCGAAAGGTAAGTTGGGAAGACTGCCCACTTATCTCGCTTGAAAATGATATCATGCAAGAAACTCAAGTGTAGAGTATTTTTAGAGAATCTGTTGAAAGTTGAAATGAATATAAACCTCAGAATTCCTAGTCTTATCTAGAAAGCCTTTGAGAATTTACGGCTATGGGGACTCACCAAATTGTTTAGTGACCACATTTGTATCAGCGTGTATGACGAGCTACACTTAGAGACCATGCCCTGAGTGAGATACACTATATAAGACCGGTGGCGTGATCAGAAGCCATTCTACTCGATTACACTTATAATATAAGGTTTTCACCCCGGAGAAATTTCTCACTACTTGAAAAGATGAAAATGTAGCTCAATGAGTCAACTCTAGGCTCAAGGTTTCCAATCCAGAATTGCTATTGGGAGGATGGTGGCAACTTATGGTGTTATTCTTGAGGTTCTTTAATAAAGTAGTCTAGAACCACATGCATCTGTACTGTTGTGGATTCGATATACTTCAGTGTACCTAATGATGCAGCTAACGTTTTCTTTCAGGGGGTATGCATTCTATGTGATATGAACAACTGCTACTACACATCACTGAGAGATCCTTTGGTTTTGATTATTCACGTGATAGATGGTAAATATTGGTGAATGATTCCACTAAACACTAAGTAAAATGCATAAACATTAATTATAACCTTCTTAATTTGAACTCCACCTGGTTCGCCTGAATTAATGTCTTTATTATATTCTCTAGCGCCAATCACTGTGTGACATATAATCCAGTCCACCACAGTTAGGAATATCCTCAGTGATATTAGGCCGGCAGCCTTGTCTTACTTCTGTATTCAATTCAAGTGATTCGCTGAGTTTCCTGTTGTGGATAACCTGAAATGTGGCGTTGTCATATAGTTGCTGAATGAGGCACTGCACTCCATAGTGTTAAGTTAGTTTTCAAATTATTACTCTGTCAACGCTGCTTGTCGAAGGCATTTCCAAAATCGATGAAGCTGGGATAGAGGTTTCACTAGCAAGACGAAATATACAACCTATTAAAACTGCTGCTTCCCCCTCTCACGCTGTATTAAAAATATAAGACTTGTAATGGGACAAATCAATAAAACATGCAAGACACGGACAATTATTGAGATATATCAAAGACAGTGAAATGCTTTGTCCTATAAAGTGTTGAAGCGTTATCTACAACGAGATTGGGTGTCTTGTCGTACCTTTAAGAGGCATATATGTCCGTTTGGTGGGAATAAGTGACAATCCTATGCAGTGTAAGACATTTAACATAGACAAATTGGCATAAACTTACCCCAACCAACAGTTTCGAGTGGTTTTCTTCTTCTACAACATCTTGACTTGTTGAAATTTTGTAAGGAGTCTTAGCAAGGACAACATTCATTCTATGACGTTTGCCATCAGATATCTGTATGAACATAACACATTGTTATGATCAGCATATTGAAATAATTTCAACTTACATTGGAATTCCAGTGTGGGATTGAAGCAAGCTTGAATGAATCATACTCGCCCATTTCTTCACTGAGCAACCGTGCGACTGTATTGAAATCCTCAAACCAAACATTCGTTTGAAGCATTTCGGCATCCATTTCTATCATTACACATTCTCCCAACTTCATGAGATCTTGTTCATATAACCAAGGTCGATTGCTCCAGTGCACATGGCATTGAACTAAGTGCTGAAGAGAAGGAAACACATAAGAAGTGTGAAGTGATGAACTCCTGGTTACCTCCTACTGAAAAAGAATCCAACCACTATCCTTTAATGCTTTGAACGTGAATGTATTTACCAGTTCGACATTCATCGCATTCGTAAGTATGATAGTCACCACGTTCAGTTTCGCCACTATGAATTAAATGATCTTTCTATTCTGTGAGAAATGTTGTGTAGGCACATCAACCGACTTAAATACAGATGAAGATGAATGTGGAAAGTGTCAGTTTTGATTACGTCCGGATACTTATTGAATCCAGAAATCGCCTGGTTTTAGTAAAGTCTTGTTATAGGAGGAACCATGAGGCAAATTACTGTCGAACTGTCATACTGTCATATTCATTAAATACGACTGAAAATCTAAAATCTCTCTATCGAAATAGATAAATATCCAACAGGAAGACTTCTAATTGGTTTTTATTCTCATAAAGAGTTTAGAAGCACACCTGGATAACACCTTAGATTAGTTCAAATCTAAACTAATTACAACGAAGTATGAATGATGCTAGGTGGTTGGCGGCGGTTGACAGGAAGCCTTAAGCCTCATTTTCGTTCTTCTGGTCGCCCGTCATGAAGGTATATCTGCAACTTTGAAGGAGCTAATGTCACAAATGAGATTTGAAACCTCGTCACCCAGTGTTGTGACCAGAGATGTAACCACTAGGCTATTTAGGCCTCAATCGTCTGGGTAGAATGAACGCCAATTACCATGAAAAATAGGTCCGAGGCACCTTCCCAACTGCATGCAACCAGCTAACATTACTTTGGATTTAACCACGACAGTGAGTTACGTAACTTGGTGACTACGTTACAAACTTGACTGAGAGAATTCGGTCAGTACCAACGCCAAGTACTAGAGGAATAATATTGGTTACACTTTAGTGACCAACCAGTGTACGAAATGTAACTGTTTACCACTGAATCCTGAAGACCATCAGGATGTTCATGGATCGATTACTTGAGGATTGCAGTTCACTCTCCTACTTCAAAAAATGTCAGCCAGAAGTATTCGTATGCTTGGAAACTAAATGAACAATGGACATGATTAAGTGTCAGTAGTCACTATGAGAACTTCCAACCAGTTGCAGACCTTTATCAACAGCTGTCTTCACTGACTCTATACTGAAGATTAGATGGCCAGTCAGCAAGAAATAGAAACAATGAAGTCTGGCTGGCGATGAACCAAACAACAACCTATTGCTCAACAAATATGTAGAAGAAATTGGAGATGGATTGGGCACACGTTGAGTAGACTGTCGAATGACATCGCGCGCAGTGCAGGCCATCACTCGACTGGAACCTGAAAGGGAAACGACGAGTTGGGTGTTGGTCCGAGGGTGACATGGACGAGATGGTGTGGGGAGGAGGAGATGAGAAACTTTGAACAATCGTGGGGCCAGCTTGAGAGGACGGCAAGAAATAGGACAGAGTGGGGATGTACAGCTGGGGCCTGTGTCCCACATGGAACCCAAGGGAACAATGATAATAATAGTTACACATTCATCGAAGTATTTTAGCAGGTATAAATTAGACTTACTGATTTGTTTTCCTTCTTAGATGATTCACTTTCTTCTTTGGATCTAAATATGACATCGAAGTCAAGTTGTTCACCTACAACATACTAATCAAGATTAGTGTGAATATTCACCAGGGGATAATCACGTCAACTTACCTTGAAGTTAATGTCTTCAATGCTGAGTATTTCATAGCTCATTTTACTATCCACTAACTTGTTGTATGCATTGAGTGCACGTTCAGATAATGTTTGGATATCAGGCATTTGACCGGTATAATCAAAGGTATTATATTCCGTTATAGGACCGGATAAGTGAATATTTTGTACTTGCATACAATTGTTTAGTAAATATTTTCTTGTATCATCACTTTGACTGACAGTCGCTTTACATTTGAAAACTTCCTACAATGCATAGAATAAGTCAGAGTTAAGTTGAATAAGAGAAGATAGAGATTTATTCATTGTATAACGAGACTGATTCAAAAGGTTGTAAGGCGGAGGGGTCAAACGACTATCGTCTGTCGAGAGTGGCAAGTTATTCCAGACTTTAATAGAATTGACTATGATGCAATCGAGACCAGATCTAGATATGAGCACATATGATTGCACGTATTTTGTACAAGAAGGATATAAAAAACGATCTTATTTTCTTCGCTGGAATCAGAGAGGCGAAATGATACAGAGGACTGGTGAAAGCCTTCTGGAAGCAAGTCAGTAGGGAAATTTGTATTCTTTTGATGAAAGCGAAAATAAGCATTCTGACATGGAATGTACGTACAATTGACGAGGCTGAGAAGGCTGCTCAGGTAGCCAAAGAGATGAGAAGATATGCTATAGAAGTGGTAGGAATCTGTAAAAGCAGGTGGAGTGGATGTGGACCATCGAAATTCTTAACTGGAGAGTCAGTAATCTACTCCAGTCACCCAAACACCAACCAAGAGCACACTCAGACAGTGAGTGGCTATCTGGAAGTTATCAACATCAGAGAAAGCACTAATGCAGAAGGAACCAGTCTCCTCCTTCTGGATAATGACATCAAGATTCAACTGAAAAAGAGTGAAGGAAGATTAAAATTATCCAATGCCAGGCACCCACAAACAACGCAGAACAAGAGGAGAAAGAAGATTTCTATAGGCAACTGCGAGCAGTAATGGATAAGAACTTGAATGGCAAAATCAAAATCCTAATGGACGATATGAATACCATCCGAACTGGGAGCAGACAATGCAGGAAGAGAATTCATCATAGATCGAGTGGCTCTAGGAGAAATGAATAAGAACGGAGAACTCCTCTCAAACTTCCCCGCTTTCAATGGTTTGGTGACTAGAGACAGCGTGTACAAACACAAAGATATGCACAAGGCAACATGGATTTCACCTGGTGGACACACGACAAACCAGAGAGACTTCACATCAGTCTCAATAAAATGGAGAAGGAATCTGACGTAATCGAAATCGACAAGGGGAGCAGATGGGGGTTCAGACCATTGTGTTATTCACGGTACCTTTGAGGTCACGTTGAAAGACTTCAAAACAACTGGAGACAGACCACAATTCAAGTTCAACATTGAGAAACTGGATTTAAGGACAAAACTATAAGGGACGCTTGCACTACAAATCAGATCAGAGCAAAATCTGATACACTACGTGGCATCACTGAGGAAACCTGCTTGGAAAAGCATTGGAACTAACTCTCTGAAGGTGATGTTCGAGGAAACGCGTACAATTGTTGTAGAAAGAAAGAATGGAAAAGAAAAAGAATGACTCTTTACGGACACTTGGATGCTAATCGAAAAGAGCAACACGGTGAAACAGAGGATAAACCAATGAAAAGGTGCACAACAAAGGGAGAAGATGAGTTTGGTGTACACCACACTGTACAAAGGCGTGAAGAAGAGTGCTAGGAAAGACAGAAGACAATTCTATGACACGCTGACAACTAAAGCAGAACACGCCACAGGCAAAAGAGACCTCAGAACATTACATCGGATCCACTACCCTCGCTCAAAAATTAAAGATCAAATGGTCAGAAAGAATTAGCAACAAGAAACTCTAGGAACAAACCAACCAAGAACCTATTGTCGAATAAATATGCCAAAGAAAACTGATGAAGATGGATCAGTGTGGTTGATAAGATATAGGACTACAGTTCATGGATGTGAATTAATGGATAACAATCGACGTGATCATGGTAATAATAACAAAGATAAATTCATTCAAGTGTTTATATGATCTAGGGAATGGTGAGTGTATAAGTAGAATGTGTGTACTTGTGGGGGTAGAGGGGGAAATAACTACTGTCACATAGCCATCTAATCGCTATACACTCACTACTGCGTAGATTAAACGAACACTTGAATGACACTATGGAAACTGTTACTTTGCTTTACGAAAAATGTACAGTTTCAGTTTAACAACGAGATCTGTGGTCGTGTGAAGGATGTAGCAATGGGCTACCCCACCCTGGGTCCTCTCTTAGTCGATATGTTTCTGGCAAAATTAGGGAAATGTCCACTGAAAAATGTAATCAACGAACTCTCGTTCTCCTGCATGATAGTTTTAACTTACATAAGAATAAAATCGACACCGAAGTCCTTCACAAAATGTTTAATATGGCTCACCCACAAATTGACTTCACATATAAAACAGAGAAAGACAATAATGTTAACAGGAAGGTGAGATTGGGATGTTAAGGTGGGGGGTATTTTCCGAGAAGAATCATGGGTTGGCTAATACACACACACATTTCACATCATTTTGTTCCTCTTGCACACAAACGAAATCTCATCGGTACCCTGATGTGTCATGCTAGAAAAGTTTGCACCGCCGACACTCTTGAAGATGAATAAGGAAAACAGAAAAATTATTATTATATGAGAAGGGATATCCAGAAAAAATTGTTAAAGTCTCTATTATGGGAGCTGATAGAGAGAAATGTCTGTAAACTACTGAAAAGAACAGGCGTATATATATAAATGACTTAACCGTTCAAGGGAGATACAGACACTGAATTACTCGCATTCAGACTCCACAGAATAGTAGCTGAGACATTCTATGCCACAACACTACGTTTAGAATTCATCACTGGTTGTATAACTCCAACACAGACAAAAGATAAGCTACCGAGGCTGGCTACTTCAGTGTGCATTTGTAATTTTAACTGTTCATATGGTGACAGTTAGACAAGTATAACGACTCAATAAGTCAATCTTGACCTCTTTCAGCATTGTCCAGCACGGTTAGGTGAAGGAGTCGTAAAATGAATCAGGAGATCCGTTCTGGTACTCACACAGTGGTGGATACGGAGTACAAGAATTCAGCCTTTACAATTGTACACAGGGTGTCACTCCAATTTCCTGAGTTTGTACACATTCGATTGCCAAGTATTGGTGAGTCAGTTTTCATGGTTATTAATCAAACCACTCTCTTTTTTTAGGAAATGTTCGTCTAATCTCTCTCCTGGCCTTCACCGCAAACCTAGAATAGTTATCTCTCCCTTTGACACCAGATAGCTGTAGATATTATTTTCATTTGTCCTGCAAACTTTATTATCAGTATCATAGTGTGCTAAACAATTGCATATTTTAATCTTAATTTCAGAATTTCCTGTTTTCATTATTCTACATACATTTCACTTGATTATTATTTGATTCCATTGATCCAAATCATTTCAAATGTCTTCGACTGATATTTTACTACGTAATTGTAAAGCCTGATGAGAATTGACGGAAAATACATATTTGCTTGCTTAAATTGTCTTCTGAAATTATCTTAATGTGAATACCTAAGTTGTGTTGTACTCCTATCTCTATCCCCACCACTATGCACACTAAGTTGAAATCAAAATTTCGGTTTATATATTTGCATATTCATCAAAACTTGTGTCATTTTGAAGGTATTAGCAGCTGGAGTAAGCTTGTGAAATAAAAAATTGGTGTTTTGTATCCTTCATATATGTTCTCTCTTGCTTTGTTCATCAAATCGATATAAGAAACTCACCGTAACCTCTGGATTTGTACAGTGATCTGGATTCTCATATAATAAGCGTTCATGTCTACCCTTCACACAGTGTGTTGGTTGAAAAACAACATCAAAGCGAACAGTTTTCGGTTCTGTATCACTTTCAGGTGTCATTGTGAAATTTTCAACTGTATTAATTGAATACAAATGACGCCGTCCATTCTGTGCATTGAATACGGACAGTGTTCGTTTTACAATCTCATCGTATGTTTCAGGTATTTGCCATTTACGTTTATAAACTGTAGTGCATTGCTCGAATCGAACTCGTATAAACAAGTCCTCCTCATCGTCATCGTCATCTTCATCATCGTATTCTTTCAGTGCAGTCACTTGACAAATCACTGTGTACTACAGAAGAAGAGAACGATTTAGAAAAAAAATAGATTTAGAAACATACAGATTAAATTATTATTATTATTGTATCCTTTAATTCCTAGAGGAACATAGGGCTTCAGTCATGAGTCTCCATTGCGTTCGGTTCTCTGCTAGAGTCTTCATCTGGCTCCAAGTCTGCCCACACACTTTCATCTCCTCTTCACATCACCTCCTCCAAGTCACCCTTGCACTGACGACCAACTCGCCGCTTCCCTTTCGGGTTCCACTCGAACAATGGCTTGTCTAGTGATGTCACTTGATGGTTTCCTCAGAGTATGACCAATCCATGTCCATTTCTTCCTGCCTACTTGTTTCACAATCGGTTCCTGCTGTGTTGGTTCGCTAGAGATCTCCGTTGCTGATCTTTTCTGTCCATCTGATCTTGAGTGGTATTGAGCGAAGATAACTGTTAATGAAGGTCTGTAGTTTGTTTGAGATGCTCTTTATGACGCGCAGTGCAAGTCTCTGATCCGTATAGCGAGTAGCAATGACTTCATATTGTAGTTGAAAATCCGGATATTATTTTTGATGCTGAGTGCTGTTGACCTCCACACAGACTTGAGAGTAGTGAAAGCTTCTCTCGCTTTCCCGATTCTTGTTTTGATATCCTCGTTAGTTCCGCTGGCCTGTAGTTGAGACGATGCTTCCCAGGTAGGTAAAAGAGGTTGTTTCTTTCAGGTTCCTTCCATTTATACTGATTGTTGTCTGTTGTTGTTGTTGCTGATTAAATACTCAATTATAATACCAACAACCTAATGACTCACAAGAGAAACGATGTGGAGACATTGTTGGAAAGAGTTCGATCACCATACTGTAGAACACTCAAATGCTGAAGAGAATGGAAGAGAAATATCTACTTACTGTCTACAAAAGGAATGAATACGCATACAATTTCATCAAAAAGTGTTTAAACTCAAGTCGTAATACCAACAAGAAACCATCATCAAAAACTACAAATAAATTCACTCTACCATACATTATGAATACCTCTAAAATATCGGCTAGAATATTAAGACCATTTGAAATAGACATAGCGCACAAGTCAACACAATCACTTCATTCAATATTTTGCGAACCAAAGGATCCAACAGCAAAAGAAGATAAGATTAGCACCATTTACAAAATGAATTTTTATGGACTGTGATAAACATTACATTGGTCAAAGTGGGCATCCCCTTCGTGTCCAAATCCAAGAACACAATTTAGCTGTGAAAAGGTATGATATATATATTCTTTCATATCAGTGCATGTAGATAATTATGCACACGAATTTGATAGGGATAATGTGGAAATTTTAAATAGAGGAAACACTAAAAATGCAATCAGGGAATTTCTACAGGCCTGGGACTCAAGTGAATCAGCGATTAGCAAGTACATTGCATTAGACCACATTAACCAACTAACAGGAAGTAAATCACACGACAAGAAATTTTAAATTCCAAGTCAATAAAAATGATCAAATTAATTCAGTCAGCTCCTTAGAGAACACAGCTAAATCAAAATCATTCAAAATCCTCCTCCTCTATGTCTGTGAGAGAGACTTGAAAAGACTAGCTGGCTGTCTTTGATCATAGGTGTCTGCGTTCTTCCTCCCCTGTTAGGTGGAAGTAAATAATATGGTGAGTAATATTGAGGTTAGGCTTCCGTAGAGTACTAAGTAAGTGGGAGGGAAAATCAGTCGACGAGGTTGTGAAGCAGATGCATCGATTGGGATGGTTAGGACATGTGCTACGTATGCATCCCTTGCCATCGCCTTCCATGATGGGCAATGTTAGCTGACGTAGGATGGATCAGGAGGGGAAACACCTACCCAGTGGTGGTGGTCAAACCAAAACACCCCTTTACTGGTAATTAAAATCCACAACACTTATTTTATTGGGGTCTTCGGTATAGTAGGAACCAATGAAAGCTGTAGACAATAGATGATATTGCTCAAAGTCTTCCTTCTCAATGGCTGGTCTGCAGCAGACGTATTCACTATTTGTGATTTGTAATATCCAGTAAAATTCCGTTGTTCTTCCATATTACTATTCGCTTTCCCTCACTCACACTTCTCAGTTTATTATCTGTCTTTTGAATCTCTCTCTACTCTCTTCTCTTGTTTTGCATGCTACATGGAGGAGGGTGGGTGACAACTCGAAATGCTGCACATCTGCGCAAAAACCTGTGTCGAAATCAATCAGACAGTCAGTCACACTTCAAGCATACGGACTCCTCAATCGTTTTCGCTCTTCAGAAATTAGTGGTATTTTCAATCGGGTATTAATTTTGCTCATTTCTATCTTACTACTTATAATTACTGAAAAATAAACTTGAGGCGACCTTCCAATGTGTCCTACATTAAGAATAATACTATTTGGTTTGAAATGTAGTCTTATTTAGATTCCACCAGTTAACAAAATTCATCAACTTACATTTTCTGTCACTGCTCCACAATCTTCAAACTTTTCAAGTTTTATCTGATCTGCATGCTTCGATTTTACGCATCCAGTTGGCTTTAAGTGGACGGTGAATGTGAAATTCTCCCCTTTCGCTTTATACGTGTGAGTGTTGTCATCATAAGTCTGTTGATAAACGATGGACACTTTTTGTCTTTGCATATTCTGGTATGAAACCAATTTGTCGTAGACTAAACTGGTAGAGCGTTTGTTATACAATCTTAAAACCTTTTCAAATATCCCCTTTAGATCGTCAGAAATCTCCAAATCAGATTCACTAGCGGATTTTACTTCTTCTGACACATTTTCACTATCTGGCATTTCCAGCATTTGATAACAGTCGTGCAGGCTTGTATTGATTTTCTGTTGAGATTTGTCTGCAACAGCTGTGAAGCTACATTGCCACGTCTGTGAATGAAAGTGAAATGTGAAGTAGTTGCGAAAATGGATAATCGGACATGGTTAGCACGAAGTAAGGAAGGATACCAATGAAAGCTTCTGTTTCGAAAGCATCGGGTTATGATAAACTAGTGTGTATATTCATATCGAACTCTCTGCTGGACAAGCAGTGTACCATCAGTGATTTCCTTTCATGATTTGAGAAATCACAGATGGAGAGTGTGAGCATTTGCATTACATTTAATATGGTGGACAGTGTGGGAAAATTTGAAGAGACAGAATCATTCTTGCCATGAAACCTCACTGAGTACATTACGAAGCAATAGCCCTGGAGGTGATTCTACAGTGAAAAGCTGCGGATTGTTCAAAACGACTCGTGTAACGATTTTTCTTATTTTTTTGTGTGGAGTTTTACAGATTTCATTTTATTTTGGATTTAGGAGCATCCTTTCGTTTAAATACAGCGATTTCACTCTTACGAATGCTGTAATCTTCATACTAAACTCTACGATCTTTCTTGCATGATTAGAAGCAGTTAGTAGAGCTTTGTATCGAGTTTCCATGCTAATAAGATGTTCTGTCTGCTAACCGTGATTCCAAACGGTATCACACGGTCTTCCAGTTAGAGACACAACTACTGCGTGAATGATCTCCTTTAAGACTGTGTTAAATACACTAAGTGGTCACATGGGTGTAGCCAATTCGGTGTACCTATGAGCATTTGCTTCAGGAGTGAGGGGAATCTTTTGCATCCACTCATTGTTCTAGTTAAAACTCGGTATTATCCTGCATGATGAGGCAGAGCGTCGATGGTTCAGAGGTCGAATGCTCGCCAATCACGTGTGTGGTTAGAAGTTCGATCCCTGGTCGTCACACTCCCATAGCTTGTCAAGCCAAAGGTGAATCTGATAAAGAGGGAAGATTGGGCGTGAGGCTGTCAACCCCATCCAGTAGAAATGAAACCACTGCAACCGAGACTTCAAATGCCTATCTTGAAAGCCATCGTTCCACTCGGAACATAAAGGAATAACATAAGTGAGAAATAACATAAGGCAGGTGATAAAAAAGTCACTTCATCCGGACACAACTTGCTGATATTGAATACAGCGTTCATATTAATGAAACATTTAGAGTTATGATGTAGCAAGCTTTGACAATCTTAATTTTATCTGCGACTATGTCATTCACATTATAATGGAAGTCATCAGATTCCGTTTGAATAGATGGAGTCTGTGCCTCCCGAAGGAAGAAATGTCTACAGACATTCACTTTGCTCAGTTTATCTTCATAGTTCAACGGGCAGAACTATGGAAAACGTCATTAGTCTAACTTCTAACCATTCTAATTCTAATTTCAACTATACCTTGATCAACGCTAAATATCCTAGTGAAAACTACTCATCATGACATTAGTGAGAAGACAACAGGGAGCTAAGAAGAGATTTCTTTTCGGCGATTTCATCCTTAAAAGCTGTACAATCGTATTTAAATAAAAAAGTTAACATAGTCACAATTATTATTCAATTGCATATGATAACGAAGGGGATTAGGGTGTGATAATAATTTTCAACTTGATGTGAGCGTTCGAATGTGTGAATATGGAACTGAATAATAATTATATCTATGTACACTGTTGTATATAAACGCGACTGTACAGCTCTTAAGGGTGAAGTCAATAATAACAATAACGATAATACGTTTATGCCTGCCTATATAATGTACAGAATTTTCGGCGGAGTATATTGCATGATATTTTCTCTTCGTTCAGGATCTTCAGATAGAAGATTATTTGACAGCAGATCGTGTGAGATAGTTCTGCCTGACATGAAGTGCAGACCAATCCATTATGATAACTCTTCTTCTTCGCCTTCGAGAAATACACGACATTTTGTTGAATAGCAATTATCGAAAGTTCAGGAGTATATTTTGTGGAGAATGGAAACCACTGAGGAACAGTCATCTCATGTAGTGGGATAAGCCGCTATCGAGGATAACGCTTTTCACATGTTTAGTAAACCTTTGCGAAACAAAAAGTTGATAATGTTTTAAATACTCGCCAGAGTAAACAATACTAGTATAGGGCATACTTCACTAAATACACACAATCTCAATGAGAGAAATTATATGCAGTATGTTGATGGAAGTTCACGGTAGCCCTCGTTTTAAGTAGGCCGCCAAAAACATTTCTTTCCTGAACTTCTTGTTCTTTTCTCTCTAATTATCCTTGTGAATTCAGCCTTCTAGTTTGACCACTACTACAATCCTGTTGTCTTGCATCATTGAAACCTGAATTTGTGTAAATATCCTAAATGGAGTTAAACACCACTGACAGTACAGCATATTTCATGCATGATTATTATCCAAAATTTCCACCTTACCTTATTAGTTTGTGCACAATTCGGGTAACAGTCCATTCCGTAGATACCATCGATTTCTGGTGCTGGAGATCTCTGCTTCACAACAGAATGATTCTGCTGATAACTCAAGAATATTCTAAAGTTTGTCACATTATTTTCGCCCACCTAAATGTTGAAATGTAATCAACACTTCGGAATACACAAAAGCTGAAACCAACCTGTACACTGATATTCTTTACATTCATCACTCGGATGGCTTCTCTGGGATAAACTTGTCCACTGCCAGTGAATAGCTCTACAGCTTGATTGACAAGATAGTCAAAAGTTGTATTTTTGACATCTTCATATTCCACAGTGTCCCAGTGTCCAACGAACTCCTGCTTAAGATTCTCCATCATTAGACAGTTGGAAATTTCGACACTCTGTAAACGGCTTCGATCATTTTTCTTGTGGAAAGATTCAACTTCACAAAGAATACGTTTATCCTTCAATAATTGTAATGAAATAAATGTGAGAGCAATAACAGTTGTCAGAATATTGGTGTTCAACAACGACAATGGTAGTATAGAAACCATTTCCCAAATTATGCAACTTCATAAAACGCATTAAACCACTGGTAAGATTGAAAGACACCTGTCCTACATCTACTGAAGTCCATCGAAATTCAAACTGTGAAAATCCTCAGTAATCTGTTGTGAACATTTAGATTGCATGCTACTTAATTAAAAGAGTCATTTCAGAAGTCATTATTTTAACGAGTATGCAGAATTCTCGGCTGAGACTGTGTGTCAAAACAGCTCGTGAATTTTTCTTTATTTGGTCATCAGTCCTAGTACGACAAATGAGTAGCTGACTGATTTGCGACAACGACTGCAGTTATCCCATTAAGGATTTCAAAGACATCTAAAATGAGATCTACACAATCTGTCTCCCAACATCCAGTTTACTTCGGAAACACAATCAGAATTCTGTGAGATACCTTTTCTAGATTGCCTATTTAAAAGGAGGGAAAACAGATATTTTAATATATCTATATTCAAGAAGAAAACACACTCCGACAGATATTTAGACTTCGGGTTATCACACCGCATCAGCTCAAAGATATCAGGTCTCCTTAGACGCTCAAACTCTTTGATAACAAATGAAGAAGAAAAAGAAGAAGAAATATCAAACATCATTGAAATTCTCAAGAAAAATAACTACCCAAAGAACTTCATTAATAAAAATCAACACCGACATTAAATATGGTCGAAAATGCTTTCCGAAGGCATGTACTTCACCAGTTTCAATTCCATATAGATCAGAAACGTCGGAGAACATCAGAAGAGTGCTCAATAAATACAGCATCAGTGTTTCTTTCAAAATATCTGACGCACTACAAAGCAAGCCAGTTCATATAAAAGACCGAATTTCAAAGGATTCACAATCTAATTCTGTCTATAAAATAAAATGCTTGGAATGTGATGCAATATACACCAGAAAAACCTCGTGACGAATCAAGGTTGGATGAAATGAACACCGTAGAGCACCTGTTCAACCACTGAGAAATTCAGTTGAACCAGAAAAGCTTGAGAAATCATCAGCCATAGGTCCAAACGCTATAGAATCAGGTCACAAAATCCGTCTTGACAAAATTGAAATAATCCAGAAAAATTTCCGAAATCACAAAGAACATCTAATATCAGAAGCCTTTTATATCAAAGAGAATCCAAGTTGTCTAAATAAGAATGATTGGCTCAGACGGAACTTGTCCTGGCTTCAATACTCACCTCCTCATGAAGTGACAAAACCAACACAAATGTGATAAGCAATTTCATTATATAAACACATGCTGTTTTCGTAATTTCATGGACTTTTCAAATCCAACAATCTACACATGATTTTGTTATTTTTACCCACTGGCCAATCTGACAACATAAAAATTACCTCATGCTGAAGAACGATGATTAAACTACTGCACACAAGCCGAGATCCTGTAAATTCTGGTTTAGTAATACCACTTTGATAAAGCCATCACAGCATTAAATAGGGAAACGCCTGTAAAAACAACAACATCATTTTGGCTTTTATTCATTGGGAAATATAAAAACACTTGTATTAATGAATATCATATACCCAATGCCTGAATTTTTTCAAACTGTTAAAAGTGAACTTGGTTTGAACATATTCAACATCTAAAGCACTTTTGTTAGACTGTCATACAGGCGTATTACACTTCCAGTTAAGCCGTCACCACATATCTTGCACCGGGAAGAAATGCAGTAAATGTTCATTGAAGTGAAAATTTGAACTAATCAGAAATCCCAGAATACTATGCCTGACTGACTATGTTCTGACTGTGAAGCGATTTCATCAGTAATACACACAAATATTTATATATATATATAAATTTGTTCTTACACTGTTTGCTTAATGTTCAACATTCTAGGGAATTTCATCAAATAGGAAAGAAACGATTTAACCCACCTTATTCTGATCGATGTCGCATGTAACCTTTTTGCAAATCGTCGGCTGTAAGTACACATTCAACTTGAAACTGTCATTCTGAAAAAGAAGCGAATGGATGAAGCCTATTCAATGGAGAATAATGAAATTCACTGTTAACAGAGATGTTTGAAACATCTGCATTGATATTCTATGCTGAACAGCTTATATGAATACATGTTGTTATCAAAACCACCTTGTCAAACTGCCAAAGAAGGCTGAATTAAGTCTGTGAAAGTGCTGGCGCGGAATCATGCTCCCGTTTGAGCCAAGCATAATAGAAAGTCACGTCATCCAGTGAAGAATAAGAAATCCACTGAATGCAGAACGCTACCCTACGGAACAAGCTGGATTCAGAAAAGGCAAATCATGTGCTGAGCAAATCTCAAATCTATGAATCATTATCGAACAAATCACAGAATGACATTCAAACCTCTACATCAGTTTCACCTAATTTGAGAGGTCTTCAACAGCACTGACCACGAAGTAATTTGGGAACTACTTCAAAACTATGGAGTGCAGTGCCCAAGTCTTTATCAACCTCATTCAACATCTGGATATATCACAATGCCAAATGTCTGGTAATCCACAAAGGAAAACTCACTCAGCGAAGCCATTGAAGTGAATACAGGAGTAAGACAAGGCCGCCTGCCTAATATCACTGATGATACTCCTAATTGTGGTGGACTGGACTATGTGTCACATCATGATTGAGGGGGGGGGCGAGAATACAAGAATGCGTGGTACTGATCGATAAGAAGACCCTAGGAGATCTGGATTTCGCGCGTAGATGATTTATGTCTAATGTCATACAAACTGGAAGACTTCCAAGTGAAAACAAATCAACCGGCAGAAGAAGCTGGCTGGCAGTGAAGACAGAACTTCAGGTGAACATAGGGAAGGCGGAGATGATGAAGATCACCAACCGACCGCCAACAAAAATAACCAGCATAAATCATTATCAGATGGGAAAATTTGAAAGAGGTCACTTCCTTCACTTACTTGGAGGCATTGTTCCAACTACAGGCAACACCACTCATGATGATGTCAGAGCCAACCGGAATCGAAAAGGCAAGTCAGATCTTTGTCACTCTGAAGTCCATCAGGAAATCTACTGCACTCAGCACAAAGAACGAAATTCGAATTTTGTACATCAGTGTCACGTCACTTAGCTCTTCTATATGAGTCAGAAACTTGACATGCATGTCAAGCAGAGTATTTCCAACAGGCTACTGCAAACTTTTATCAACACATGTCTTCGCTGGCTCACTATTGAAGATCAGATGGTGGACCAGAAAGGATTGGTGACAGGGAACTCTGAGATCCTACTGCTCGACAAATATGCTGAGGAAAATCGATGAAGATGGATCAGACATACGCTCAGGAGACTGTCAATTGATACGGCGCTCCATGCCGGGCATCGCTCGAGTGGAACGCGAATGGATAAACACGAGTTGGCCGTGCGTCCGAGAGTGACATGGAGGAGGTCGTGTGAGGAATGCATGAGAGACCATGTGCAATCGTGAGGCCGACTAAAGAGGACGGTAGAGAATAAGACAAAATGAAGAAGTACTGTTGAAGCCCTACATTCCACCCGGAAACCACGGGAACTATGATAGATATATATATGTATATATATACATAGATAATCACACGCTTAACAGTCTGCCAGATGTATCAAAAGACAAAAGGCCCTTAAGTATACAGTTAAGACGAATAACTGAATGTTAAGCATCATATGTTAGCGGCTGTAACTTTGTTTAAGTTATTCGTTACGGAAACAGAGAATAACACAGTGGTCTGAACAAATTTTGCGTACCGTTCATTTCTCATCTAGGTAGGTTTCTGAAACATTTAGAAAAATTTGCTTCTATAGAGAGACGCAGTGTCTCATTATTTACCAAAATACCATGAAACAGACTTCATTCAAGTAATCTAGCCTAAGAGTTGCAGAGAAGAAAATGCTCTGGAAGCCTACATCTCTAGCGCCATATAACTAGGGTATTACGCTGACAGTCAATCACAATCCGCTAATATTTTCTTCGAGTTGCTTATCGAGAGAAATGAAGAAACATACATTTCATTTCAGAAATCGAAGAGCAGGAGTATATCTTTGCATTCACTAGCGTTTCCGTACTATATTTGGCTCCTGTAGTGTGCGAACTTTGACATATTATTGATTGATATGAAGAGAGAAAACTGAATTAGGCTATTAACTGAGGAACGTGAGGGATGGGGAAGTCAATGTGCTGGGTATATAATGAAGGTGTTTTTTGATTTTGGCACAAATAGCAGTGTCTAACAATGTCATGATTTCCACATACATATATATATTCTGTAGAAGGTGGAGGAACCTTCTTCAAGTCGTATCCGGACTGCTAAACATCTTCAAGTATCTCGTCACATACAGTGAAAATCTAGTCACATGACAGATCCAAGGCTTGATAGATTGAAGAAAAAGGTATTAAACCTACATTTGTTGTCCATTGGCTGGTCTCAACTATTTTATAAGTATATGGTAGGTTTGCTCGTGCATTCAAATCTCTCTCAATCAGACTACGATATTGAAGACCTTTTTCTTCTTCTGAGCCTGGCATCAATAGTACCGCGTTTGATGGTTTAGAATCCAAGATGTCACGTTGACAGGTATATGCAACATCAAGCTTCTCTGTGACTTCCACATCACATAAACGATAATGTGTCTAAAAGGATTGGTAAAGAGAGAATAACGAGTGAAATATTTGAATCAAGGGTAAATTTATCATTATGCATTGGCAATAGATTGTATATGTACCATGTTAAATAAACCTTATGTCCAATAAACCAAATTATCAGTCTACTAGTAGTCTCTCTGACTGATTTTGTAGAAGTGTACACATATCGTCTGCAGAAAATCTTCCTTTATTTCCTGGTATGCTGGAGAGGTCATTCGGTTAAAATTTAGCAATATGAGTGAGGGTGGAAACTCGATGCTCGATTGGTTGCCAGGAAGCAATCATATTCAATCTGTCCAGCTTAATGCATCTTCAGTAGAAATTAAACATCTGCACAGTCCTGGATGCTTTGTCATAATTTCCCCTCATATACCAACTGACTGTACCTAGAAAGAGGTAATATATTAGTTTTGTGAAAAGCTATCTAATTTGCTGCTGAAAGTAAAGCACTCCTATATGGTCATATTTCATTGCCTAAATGGAGAATCTGTGCTATCTCATCCTCACGAAGAAACAACGACAATCGCCGTTTATCATTCTCTTCACTGCCAGGACTTACTTCAAAAATAAAGACTCAGTCTACCTCACTCCTCACCCAAATTCAAGTGAACACTGGATCACTTAGCAATTAGTTATTTGTGGATATGGTCGTTGGAGTAGTGCCACTCATTCTCGGATAGCCGTGTAAAGTCAAATCGCTCACTAGTCTGTTCGTGGGTTTTATACAACCAATGGTGGATGAAACAATTTTCAAGAAGGATCAAACATTTACACTTTCTCAGGAAAGATGGTTAGAATGCGTGAGACAACATTTTAAGGGGCAATTCAAGTAGGCTGCGGTTGAACTACAGTTGTTCTCAATTCTACCCCTGCTTAGATGGAATACAGACATCAGTCCACTCGCAAGGTGTCCAATGATTACCATATCTCTTGTCGTCCAGGTGGCATTTCACTCAGTCGATTGAGAGCTGTTGTGGTAATTTATCGCTGTGACAAGTGCACCAAAAAAGCATATTGTACTACAAAAAACACTCCATTCCATTTCACGTAGCCATGAAGAGCCTGGGAGACGACAGTCATATGAAGTGAAGACAGTCGGCGGGATTTGTCAGGAGTTTCCAACGTTACCATTTTCGCATAGTTTTATTACAGACATACTGATGTTGAGGACTGTTACCGAATTCGACATCGCGGTGGTTTACATATGATTGAAAATTAGTCTTGTCATTCTGAGGTATGCAGGTGATATAGTCCATCTAGGCGAAGACTTCGTCAAACTGCAAAGATTTTAGAACATTTTGAGCGAAAGTCTCTCTTAATATGTATGGCATTTTATTTGCACCAGTCAATTCTAACATGATACTGGGCAACTAGTCTGCACCGACTCCTAATTTAATAATAGAGCATATAGTTGTTCAATATGTTGACGCCTTCATGTATTTGAGGAGCTGCATTAGCGGTAGTTGACTGCTTTCTAATGAAATCACAGTATGAACACAACTCGCGTCAGCTACAGTGCCACTGCGATGTCCGCCTATCCGTCAAAGGATATGTACGCACTGTACAGAAGTCCGCTCCATCCTTCAACACATAACTAAGTATTCCTTCTCCCGTAGAATTAAGTCTATTGCAGTTCCATTGCACTCCTTTTCTCCACCCATATATATATATTTGTGCTGTCATTACGTTTGCCTCAATGCACTGATGCGATAATAGTCTGTACACTTCCCCCAGGTCAATGAAAACAGAGATGAGTAAAAATGCATGAAAATTCACTACGGGTTGTCTGTCACTGAGGATTGTCAAAATTTGTTCAGTGATTACATCAAGTGCAAGCACATGAAGAATTGTTGTTATTAGATGGTTAGAGGTAAGATCCATGGCTTTCTACGGATTACCTCCAGCTATCTGATAACAGTTCGGAGTGTAGTATGATGACGTGCCACCTAGCGCGCTAGCCATATTGAAAATCTGACTGATAGAATTCAATCTGCAACAACACTGAGTACTAGACGCATACTATTGGCTACTTCTACTACCTAGAATACAATCAAAATATCCAATACAGTCCTACAGGATGTTAATCGTGAGCCCGAATATCTCAATGATAACGTCTCTGACTGTGGAATTGGACAGTCTGTGTTTGAATCTCAGGAGTAACATGAGTTCCTTCAAGATGGCAGACACACGTCGTTGATGGATGTTGACAAGCACAAAACTCAGAGCTAAAGCTTCCTGCCTATTGCCTTCAAACTATCTAACAGGTTTATACATCTTATTAATCAAGGTATAAATATTCGCTCAACTAACAAATTAACAACATTAACAGGCAACACATGTTATCAGTAATAGGTTAAAGCAATCTCTGAGCCTTTCGTCTTCTTGTAGAATGTATAGAACATTTCAGAGATAATAATCTCATTTAACCTTACTAACGACACGATGAGTGTAACCAAGCTAACAGTCGAAAATTTCATGAATCCTAGTTCATTCACATTACCAGAAATATAGGACCAGTCAGTCACATGAGTACAATTCATCTTCAACTTACCTTTGATTTTGATTTCTCACAGCTGTTAGTTGTCTGTTTCTTCTTATCTCCGGTTGCATTATTACAAGCATAGAATGCCACAACAGACGTAAATGTATACTTGCCATCAGTGTCAGAATAAGCGTTTGCAATCCAGGAGAGTGCTTTCACATGTGTTGCATTCTTTGCATCTGAATCATACACCTTGAACCATTTGTCAACTGCATCTTTAAAGCGTTTGTCAGCCAGTTCGTGTGTTCTAAGTGGACGACGTAATTGCGTTGTATTTAGAAGGAGTTCTTTTGACCGATACTGATATTTTGGGGGAAGAGGAAACGAAAGTTTTGTGAAATGCATAGTTCAGAGAGACGGAAGGAACCGATAGTGTCTTCAATTTAATTGGACTATAGTTTAAAAGTATTAAAGCCTATCACATATACATAGAAACTATCGATCCACAGTAGAATATACGTTTGTTTAATAAAACACTTGCACTTAATCTGAGGAAATTGAACTTACAAATGAACCAGTGAAATATTTCATGCTGGATTCAACATAGAACTTGGCACCGAAGTGCAGCAGTTCGAGTTGCCACGTTCCAAATAGCACACAAAGGTAGACAAGAAAATGGGTGAAGAGAATCAATAGAGTTTTGACAAGTATAAGAGTGAAACAGAATGAGTAATGGTAGAAAGGAATATGAAAGATTACAGAGACTGAATACATCTGCGTAAGCCATTGACAACGATTTTGAGCCATATCACCTATTGTCTCCAGCCATTGATTCTTAGAGTCCCGAGGGCGGGCCCCAACCCGGAAGTCTGCATCTCCCTACCTGACTCAGTTTAACTGTCAAGGATTTCATGGATTGATGAGGCCATGTTTTTGTTTGACCACCACTTACTCTTTTCCAACCTGCACCTATATCAGCTAGTAATGCCCGGCCGTCGGGGGAGGCGATGGTTAGGCATGCGCAGCACGTGACCTAGCCATCTCAATCTATGTAACTTTGTAGCCTCGTCGATTGATTTTCCCTCTTTGCCCAACACTCTACGCCTAACGTCAACATTGCTTACTTTATTATACCACCTAACGCGAGAAAGAGATCGTAAACATCTGTGGTCAAAAACAGTGAACCTTTTCATGTCTTCAACTCGTATTGGCCATGTTTCAGAGCCATAGAGAAGGAAGGAGCGAACTGCTAAGCAGTACACACGTCCCTTGGTTGATAGCCGGATGTCACGCCTACGCCAGAGACGGTGTAAGTTAGCGAAAGCAGCTCGAGCTTTTTGGATCCGTGCTGAGATTTCGTCACCAATCAATCCGTTGGTGCTGATACAACTTCCCAAATAGGTGAAGTGGTCAACATGTTCTATCACTTCACTCCCTATCACTAAGCTAGGAGTTGACGTAGTTCAGTCCTGTAGCAGCATTTTACATTTTACAGGGGCGAATCGTATGCCAAACATACGAAGATTGCTGCTCAAGGTGTTTAGAAGACTCTGCTGTATTTTGTCAACATCCTCCCCTAACAGGACTATGTCATCTGCATATTCTAAGTCCATAAGATTATTCCCTGGTAACAAGTCCACTCCTAAGTCGTTAAGTTCCCATTAGCATATCTATGATGAAGTTAAACAGAAAGGGGGAAAGTGGACATCCTTGACGGACACCACTGGTTGTTATCAATTCAGATGACAATTCCCCATAAGCCCGTACACAAATACGTGAGTTTGAGTAGAGTGCCTTGATTAGTGCAATGTACTTTCTTGGCACTCCCTTCACAGTCAAACATTGCCATAGTGCCTCTCTATCCACGGAGTCGAAGGCCGCCTTCAAGTCAAGAAATATGGCAATTGTTGGACGCCTAAAAGTGTGTCTATGTTCTAGTATCTGTTGGAGAGTGAAGATATGATCTATGCACCCTCTATCTGGCCTAAAGCCCGCTTGATTTTCCCTCGTTTGTTCCTCCCGAGTTCGGCTTAGTCTGTGCATGATTACTGAGCCTAGGATTTTAGAGACTATGTTCGTTAGGCTGATTCCTCTATGATTATCGCATGAGGACTTGTCTCCCTTCTTGAATACTGGTATAATAAGTGACTTACCGCAGTCTGATGGAACCGTCTCTGATTCCCAGACGTTACCTAGTACCTTAGTTAAACTATATACTAGTATGTCACCCCCATATTTAAACACCTCCGGAAATATTTCATGAATAAACAGTCACTTATGTATTCACTGTACTTTACCTATGACACTGAGACTATGATAACATATTGCTTATTACTAATATTCTCTTGGCTTCCAAGTGGCGCATGGAGCTTCAGCAACATAGTTCCATTTTGACCTGTTTTCTGCAGTCCTCTTTCAATGACACCACAAGTGCCCATGAGCTTTCGTTTCCTGCTCGTCGCATGATCTCCTCCATGTCACCCTCAACTATACAACCAACTCGTCGTTCTCCACTCGAATTCCACTCGATAGCCTGCCTGGCGAATAATATCTCCTATTTTAACCATAAAGGTGTGTTTCATTTTCACTGTGATCTATATAATCCTTGAAATGAAGTTCTGTTTTCTCAGTTAATGGTTACCTGTCGAAATCAAACTATCTTTCATCATCATTCCAGTCAACTTATCTAGGCTCACTAAGCTTTTACTGTAGGGATGGATGTATCGCTTAATCTCGATCTTGTAGACGATTCAGTCACTTGGACTCGGTTCACCTGACAGCCTATAAAATTTCATCTTCTACTAATCCGCGACATATATGGCGTAAGCACCAGCCAGTGCCGTAGATGAATCACTGATCTCTTACACGACTTGGTGTACTACAATGAATATGCGGTGGCACAACATATACCGCGAATTGGCAGAAGTCAGAATTCATGTGCTGGCCATTGAATCGGATCCCAGTAGCTGAATAATCTACCCACGCTCGCCTTGTAATCGGGAGGTTCTGAGTTCGAGCTCCAGTGAGTGCGTACCTATGAAGAGTCCCAAAAAGGTACAAAAGAGATTTCAAGTGCTCTCTTGTTCTAAGTGGTTCTCTAACTGATGTCGACTCGTGATCGAGCCTATCCAATGGCCGCAAGTTCTCATTCTTAATCTTGAGGACCCAAAGGTATGGGTTTGGTCACATATTTTGTTTCCATTTTTCAATCAATTATCTCACACCCATGAAGATAATGTTTCTTCACAAGATATCGCGATGTTTACAACTGAGAATGTGCAGCATTTGTAATCAGTTAATGGAAGTTGATGAGTTGAATCATGCAAAAATAATAGCGTCATTAAAAATATCAACGTAAAATTAAACTTATCAAGCAAGAGAAGTAGGGAAAACTTTATATTAATGACCACATTGTTTTCATTTGATTCCGTTGAGTTCCAAGTGAACCATAGGGCTTTGAATTTTCTGTACCACTAGTTGTATTTTTACGGAGTAGGGTCACTAACCTCACACCCAACTTTCTTAACAGACTTACTACCGGCTTAGTGAGGTTTAGGAGGGGATCGAACCCAAGATCACGTGCGTGGTTAGCGAGCGTCCTATAGCCGAACCACCAGAGCGAGCAAGGAGTAGGAAAATGAGGTAACAATAAAAGAGGAGTGAAAATATTGAGGCTGTACCCATAAAAAAAGGCTAAAACCTGTTTTTATATATTCAGAATTGATTTGATATTACATTGATCCTGACTCGGCTATCCAATTTCAGGACCAAGGTTAATTTTACTTAGTAATATTTTCTCCTTCACCCCTTTATTCTCACCTCAAACTCTCTTTCCCTTATCTGTGATCATGGCCAGTAAACATTCCGATCTATATTGATAAAAGTTGTAATCCGTAATGTTCTGTTGTTATATACACATATATATATATATTTGAAACTCTGTGCTTGTTTAACACTAACTTATATTTATAATTGTATATATTCATGGATTTACATGTTCAAGTTAGCTGAAGTCAGTGAGTCTATGATTTCGGTATCATTTTGGTTAACTGTAATTGACTGTTATATTATTATTGTTGTTGTCGCTTGTTACCCTTCTTTTTGTGAATTATTTTCCCGTACTGGTATTTTTCTGCTTGTTTTATTCCCTGTTTTCCTGGTTTTAAGGGGAGCAACCCAAAAGTTCGCTTCTCTCTAAATTGTAAATTAATGTAACAATCCCCTTTCTCAGGCGTGAGGCTAGCAACCCCACCCTGTAAACAAACCTGCTACAGAAACTTCAGCACGATGTATCTCCTTGAGACAAAAGAAAAATTCTTTGTGGGGACATGGAATGTCCGTACCATGTACGAGATTGGCAAAGCTGCCCAGATCGCAAACGAAATGAAAAGATACAGAATTCAAGTAGTGGGAATATGTGAAAGCAGATGGAACGGGAATGGACTCACCAAACTGTCAACGGGTGAGTCAGTGATCTACTCCGGTCACCCAGAAGATAACCACTCGCACACCGAGGGCGTGGCTATCATGATGTCACCAACGGCAACGAAGGCCCTGATGCAATGGGAGGCGATCTCGCCCAGGATAATAACCGCCAGATTCAACTCCAAAGGAAGGAAAGTGTCAATTATACAATGCTATGCACCGACCAACAACGCAGACCTCGAAACGAAAGAAAAATTCTACAGACAACTGTAGACAACAATGGACAATACTCCAGCTGGTGACATCAAAATACTAATGGGAGACATGAACGCCAAACTGGGATCAGACAACACAGGAAGGGTACTCATCATGGGTAGAGAAGCTCTCGGAGAAATGAATGAAAACGGAGAACTCTTCGCCGACTTCTGCGCCTTTAATGAACTAGTGATTGGTGGCAGCGTATACAAACACAACGATATTCACAAGGCTACATGGGTGTCACCAGATGGGCGAACCAAAAACCAAATCGACTTCATCTCAATCTCAAGGAAGTGGAGGCGCAGCCTGCTGGACACGAAAGCAAGAAGAGGAGCAGACATTGGCTCAGACCACTATCTCGTACAAGGGACAATCCAAATCAAATTAAAAGCCTTCAGAGAATCAGGAGCTGCAGACAGACCACAAGCCAAGTTCAACACTCAAAAACTGAAGGAACAGGACACAAAGAACATCTTCACTGCAAGCATAAAGTACAAAGCCGAGACACAAATCAACACTGGCGAAGAGGTCAGCGACGAAGAGCACTGGAACAACTTGAAGACAGTGTGGAGTCAAACCTGCATGGAAGTTCTAGGCAGAAAGAAGAGACAGGACAAACAGTGGCTCACTGCAGAAACACCTGGAAACTAATAGAAGAGAGAGGGATGGTGAAACAAAAGATTCTTCAGTGCACCGATGAGCAACAAAAACCGGATTTGAATGCAAACTACAAGACACTGAACAAAAGAGTAAAGAAGAGTGCCAGAGAAGACAAAAAAAGTACTATGAAACCATGGCAAGTGAGGCAGAACAAGCTGCAGGCAAAGGAGACCTCGCGACACTCTACCAAACAACTAGTACCTATCGGGAAACGTTTGACACAAATCAAGCCGGTGAAGGGTGATAATGGAAAGTCACTCAACAAAGAAGTGGAGCAAAGGAAACACTGGGCTGAACACCTCAAAAGACTCCTAAATCGACCACCACCGACAACGCGTCCAACAATACCAACAACGGAGACAGAGCTACCAGTGAACACCAACCCCCCCGGTGAAATCAGAAGTCCTGAAGGCAATCAAGATGCTAAAAGCTGGAAAAGCAGCAGGATGAGATGGAATCCCAGCAGAAGCATTGAAAACGGACCCAGAGACAACAGCGGACTTGATGACGCCACTACTGGAGAAGGTGTGGAAAGAAGGCAAAGTACCCGAGGATTGGAAGAAAGGATACTTATTCAAACTACCGAAGAAAGGAGACCTAAGTCAATGCAAGAACTGGCGCGGAATTATGCTCCTGTTCATCCCAAGCAAAATACTAAGCCGCATCATCCTGGAGAGAATCAAACATGCCCTGGATGAAAAACTTCGACCGGAACAGGCTGGATTCAGGAGAAACAAGTCATGCATTGATCAGATCGCCACATTACGGATCATCATTGAACAAAGCCTAGAATGGCAGTCACCTCTCTATCTCAACTTCATCGACTTTGAAAAGGCCTTCAGCAGACAGCGTCAATCGAGAGTTGCTTTGGAAAATACGCCGCTACTACGGGGTGCTACCGACAATTATATATCTCATCCAACAGGGATACGACCATGCTGCATGCCAAGTAATCCACAGTGGGAAACTTACGGAACCCTTCGAAGTGAGGACAGGAGTAAAACAAGGCTGCCTACTATCACCAATGATTTTCCTGATTGTAGTAGACTGGATAATGCGACAAACAGCGGTCAATGAGGAAACAGGCATAAAATGGACTCACACAAAAAACTTAGAGGATCTGGACTTCGCCGATGATATATGTCTGATTTCCCACAAACTGGAAGATATGCAAGCGAAAAGCAACAAGTTGGCAGAAGAAGCATCAAACATAGGACTTCAGGTGAACATAGAGAAGACAGAGGTGATGAAAATTCCTGGGCAACACCACCACCACCACCAACAACAACAACTGACAACAATCAGCATAAATGGGAGGAACCTGAAAGAAACAACCTCTGTTACCTACCTTGGAAGCATTGTTTCAACTACCGGCGGAACTGACGAGGACATCAAAGCAAGAATCGGAAAAGCAAGACAAGCTTTCACTACGCTCAAGCCTGTGTGGAGGTCAACAGCACTCAGCATGAAAATGAAAATAAGATCCGGATTTTCAACTCCAATGTGAAGTCAGTGCTACTATACGGATCGGAGACTCGCACTACGCGTCATAAAGAGCACCTCAAACATACTACAGACCTTCATTAACAGTTGTCTTCGCTCAATACCACTCAAGATCAGATGGCCGGCCAGAAAAGATCAGCAACAGAGATCTCTGGGAGCGAACCAACCCAGCAGGAACCGATTGTGAAACAAATAGGCAGGAAGAAATGAAGATGGATTGGCCTTACTCTGGGGAAACAAACCATCCAGTGACATCACTAGACAAGCCATTGCTCGAGTGGAACCCGAATGGGAAGCGGCGAGTTGGTCGTCAGTGCAAGGGTGACTTGGAGGAGGTCATGTGAAGAGGAGATGAAAGTGTGTAGGCAGACTTGGAGCCAGGTGAAGACTCTAGCAGAGAACCGAGACCAATGGAGACGCACGGCTGAATCCCTATGTTCCTGTAGGAATTAAAGGATACAATAATATATATATATGTATATATATAATAACATCTGATAATTCCGCGTTTGTTTAATGCCTTACATTTGAATCTAAAAATATTTGACTGGACTACGATTCTTTTGGCTTTGAATTAGCATGCAGAGTTGTTGTTTCTACCGCAACAGTGTTTCTTAATGTTTCTTAATACCTATCAAATTTTCGACTATTCTTCACATTCTTCCATCACCGCTGGTAATCAAGGCTGTACTGTGTATAGTTTCCAGAATTACATCACTCAGTCATCTTGTTAACTTGCGACTGAAAATTATTAAAAATTCATTTTCATTCCAACCTATTTGCCTTAAAGAAATATTTCACATTCTAGAGAACGTTTATTGCTCCTATCGTTTCGAAGTAATTCTCCACGTCATATACACACCCATACCCACAAAAATGTTGACAGTTAAGTCGCCACTACAATTTGATAATTCGGATTACTGTGAAAATCCTGCAGTTAGATGGGTTTAGTTAGTCAGTTGCTTTTCATTTGTACTAATTCAAGGTTCACCAGAAATTAAAAAAGGCTTTATTCCACAAGGGAAAACTCAGCATAGCATTTGACGTGAAGACAGGTGTAAGACACATTCTGGTTACTTTCATCACCAGTGGTATTCTTTATAATGGCGGACTAGATTACGCATCACACCATGATTGGGGAGCATGAAGACAGGAATAGGCTGTACTGAATGACCAGAAGACTCTATAAGATCTGGATTTCCTGCGTAGATGATCTATGTCTAATGTCACACAAACTCGAAGACTTACTGACAAAAACCAATAAAGTGGCTGAAGAAGCTAGCAACGAAGACAGGACTACTGGTTAACATAGGGAACACGGAGGTGATGAGGATACACACGCATCACCACCACCACCAACAACAACAACAACCAATACCAGCAGCAGTCACCATCAACGGGAGAGATTTGAAAGGGGCTACTTCCTTCACTTATGTAAGTAGCATAGTTTCAACTGCTGAACACAAGGATGAGGATATCATGATTGGAAAGGCAAGGCAGACCAACATACACCTGAAATCATTTTGGAAATCTTCTGCACTCAGCATTTACAACAAGATTTGGATTTCCGACACCAGTGTGAAGTCAATTCGTCTATGTGGGTCAGAAACGTGCACTGAACGTCACAAAAGGGATTTGCAACAGGTTTCAGACCCTTATCAACAACTGCCTCTGTGTCATATTGAAGATCTGATGGCCGGCTAGAAAGAATATGTAATCAGGAACTCTGAGAACAAAAGAAAAGGAACTACTCCTCAATAAATTTGTAGAATAAAGTTGACATAGATGTATCGAGGATATACTGAGGCGACAGTCGAATGATAGCGTGCACCAAGTCATCGCTGGAGTGGAAACCAAAAAGGAAACGATGAGTTGGGTGTTGGTCAAAGGGTGACATGAAGGAGATCGTGTGAGGAGGAGGGCAGCTGGAGCCATATGTTCCACTTGGAACACAAGAGAACAATAATATAATAAATACTCACCTTCTAACAATTACATAGAATGACAGACTGATTGGTAGTCAGTCGAAATTGCCTTCATGCTTACCTTCTCCAATTTGTTTTGATGTGGCAAGGCCATATGACTTGTAATTTTCCGGCAGTTTTCCCAGTTTGATGCCCTCACAAAACCATTTTTTGAATTCCTGTACACCCGTAGTCTGCAGGCAAACGTTGGCTGAAGAAAATAAAAGCAAAATACTGACCTTAGTCATCTGACAGTTGTTTCTTCAAGTTTAAATAAAACACCTGCCAAGGACATGGGAAAACACACCTACTACTAAGGAAGATATCTACATAGAGTTACGCCAGGAAATAAAAAGTACCATATCAAGTCGAAGACTAACACCATTGGCAATTAATATCCCAAGTACTCTTATAAACCCTTACTAATCTATAAACATCCAGAATATTAGTTAGTGTGAGATTCCTAGTGTAATTTGAGTGCCAATCCTTTCATTTAGTTAGTTTCAAAGACTAGTTTATTGTCAACAGAGATTTCATTGTACAGCTAGTAGACGGAGACTTCCTTTTGCTCGTTATGGTGACAGCGTCAGTTTACAATAAAGAAATAACGTACTCATTGCCCTGGATTATCTTCTACTTCCACTGGTATTGAATACATCACTTACACTGAGGCCTATTGGTTCCATCCTAACTGCGCCAAGACAAGTCCGAGACTGATAAAATAACCCTAAACCTAATCGGTTAACTTGTAGTCGTTATTTGAAATACTTTCAAACCGAGCTTCAGTAATTTGGCGGATGGTGACTGGCAGTCAATTCCAGGATGTGCACCTCGTCCTCTTTGCCACATGCCAGCTGGACCTACCTACATTACACAGTGAGTGATGGTTTTCTCAATGAGGCTCGGACCAAGTAACCATCGTTGTAAAAGCCAAAACATTATCTACCAGACCATTTGGGCCATGACTGAGCATGATGAACATTTCAATATACGCTTTAATTGAACACCACTTAGTAACTAGTATCATGCGTCTCGTCTTGTATTTCGCTGCAGACTGAATTCTATCAGTCAAGTTTGCAATGTGGCCACCATGCTAGGTGGCTCGCCATCACAGTGATAACGTCTCTGACTTCAACAATGAGTGGTGACACGGGTTCGAATCTCAGAGAGGAAGTGAGTTCCTTCAAGATTTCAGATACGCCTTGCTGGCTGGTAAGTGGGCGAGTGCAAACAAGCACGAAATCTGGCTGGGTATAGCAGGGCATCCTTTCGATTGCCCTCAACCATCTAATGTCAAGACATGTTTCGTCAGCAAATTATCTGAAGCAGACATAATAAGCATCTCTGGTGTATCCAAAAGAATGAGTTCCCTTCATTTCACAGTGATACGATACGAGAACTTACTTGCTGATATTCAGCATAACATGAATTTGTACGAAGAGCCCGTAATTCCTTCAAGTCATCCACCAAGTCGCATTTAGTTGATCTCAAGGTAACAGTCAGTTCCGTAACATAGTCGTCATCTATCTGAAAATCCATAACAACGTTGTTAGTTGATCAGTTAGACATTACAAGTTAGTAGTTGACTTACAATCTCTGTACCGAGCACCACACGATACAATCGTAAGATATTTGAAAACCTCTTTTGCATATTCAACGAATTGACCGATTCCATGATCACGGATGACCAGTAGTCATTTCTCAGACTCATACGATCAATATCACGTATATCCTTGGTGAAATCTAAACTTCTTTCCACCACTTTGATACAATCATTAATTCTGATTTCTTTTTGCTTCTGTTGAACGTGTGTCCTGACCAGACATATTGTTCTAGCCTTTAATGAAGGAATGTTGTATAAAAAATGAAGACATGAGTTAAAATTTCATTTAACACTTCAATAAAAATAGAAGTAGGTCTATTTCTTGTTTATTTTCAAACAAATTCAAATGCTAGAATGTTCACTTAATATAAGGAGCAGTTTATCTTATTACTGTTATCCGATAAGATAACTGTCCGTTCATTTTGTCAAGGTAATATGAGACGAGACTTTTGAATTCGTTCCCTCAAGTACACCGAAAATTAAATTTGTATAAAACTATATACCAATGATTGGTGGAGTTGAGTAATTGTACACTACTCACATCAACCTGTAGTGCTTGACACCAAGCCAGATCGATGTCGTCAGAACACCAGATGGCTGTTTCGTTGGTTTACAGCCGAGCTCATCAACAGTGTACTCGGCCTGACTCAGTTCAGAGGGCCGAATCAGTTCAAATCACCAGATATTTGGCTGGCTACTTGGTCGAACCGGTGACACAATAAGTAAAATCAGCAATTTGCAAACTGCTTAGCAGTTCGCCTTGTACACAGTTCGAGGGTAACTCGCTTTGTCAGTACACATAATAAAATTGAAGTGACACGAAAATGATAAACATGGTACCTCAACAAGAATGACACACGAAATCGTGAAGCTTTCCATATTTTTACTCCTCGGAACCCTGCAAATGGCAAATCGCTCACCAATTTGCGAAATGTTAATCTCATTTAACACTGTAATCACATTGAAGACTTTATTGTTGATACCCTGATGTTTTGTAATTAAGTGAATAAAGGCGGTCATTGAACTGAGACAATGCTAACAGATAATTTTCTACAAAATAAATTGCAACGAATGCGAAAAACACAACACTGGCCAAAGTGGACGCCCTCTTCGTCTGCACATCCATGAACACAAACTAACCGTCAAAAGACACCATATCCACTCCCTCACTCATATCACTGCATATAGACAACCAGCGACATCAATTCGACTGGGACAATGTTCAGATATTAGGCAGAGAAAACTCCAACAACGCCAGGGAATTTCTACAAGCATGCTACTCCATTGAATTGGCAGTTAACAGGCACATTGATATACATAAAGTTTAACATTCCATAAGGGGAAAATCTCATGCACAAAAGTCAAACTTCAGGTCAAGGAAATAATCAATACCAATACCACAAGTAGACTAGAGGGTGTGAAAACAGACAAATGCAACCAATCATATTCAAACCTACCAGGAGAGATGACTAATAAACTCGTGGAGGAATTAAACTGCTCACTCCAATAAACTGCAGTATGTGCTGAGGTGAGGATTTTGCCTAGTAAGGTAATGAAGGCTTCGAAAGTAAATCATCCAGCTCAGAGAACACAACTACACCAAAATTATCCAAGTGAGCTACAAATCTTCTCCATTATATCTAGCTATCTAGTTATACTTCATATTTCAAACTATTCTCTTGTTAACTTCTCGCCATTCTACACAAGTACATCTCTACTCTACTACCATTTTCATTGTAATCGGTGAATATTCCTTGTGAAACACACAGTTGTACATCTCTGATAATCTTTTATGTTTAAAGAATTTAATGGTATAACTATAGTGGCAAAGTACATCTAAAAGTCTATACAGGCAGTTGTTTACACCATCGGATTTTGTCAGAGGAAGAAATCGACAGGTCAGTTGATTGCAACTTTGCATTTTACTCAGTAGAAATGATAAACTTTATTTTTTTAATGGGTGTTTTATGAAAAACGAATATGTTCCTCACATTCTGTTTCGTAGTAAGACAAAATGCTGCTTATTACTGCAAACGAAAAAATTTTCTCACTGTTGATCTATCAGTTGTCTGTTAATAAAGATTCATTGAACCAAATCATCTTTGTTCACAATAATGTCATCTAAAACGAAATAGTCATGGAACTGAGTTCTAAGCAACAACCTTAATAATGACATTCAGTGATCTGTGACTCCACTGTCGAAAATGAGGATGTCAGGCGTTAATCAGGAAGCTGAATAAAAGAGTCGGAAAGATTATCGTCGATATAAAACAACTGTTGGTTAGCTGATGAGATAAATTGCCTACACATTACATTTCATGTTTCACCTATCAATTCGAGTGGTCTTGTGGAGACAGTGACACCGACCACTTTTCTAGAAATTTGATCGACTGTGTTCGTGAATAGCCTACTTAGTTAACATGGGAAACAAAAGAATAAGATAAGGCAATCATTGAACTAATAGACAAGATTTTCAGCTTAGGATGAATACAAGAGCTGAGTTCGTCGCCTACGAACCTCAATACATATTGATCGCGAATAACTTTCAGGGACCGTCAACCGTCGAATATTTCTAATGCTCGTATAGAATTGAACAATAAACCAGAATGAATTACTGATGCACAACTACACATGTGAATGTTTTCAGGTCATATTCAAATAGATAAAGGGAAGGGAGTATGAGAGATCGAACTTAAGATAAAATTCACTACGGTTCAATTACGTCAGTTATATAAACAATTAGTCATCAGAGAAAGAATGTAGACACATCAAGAAATGCGAACTGAGTAATAAAAATAATAAGTGTTGGAAGGAGTTAAGATAATGCTACTGATAATGGATAATTTCAAATGAATCAGGAATAATAATAACAGGTAGATTAAAGTGTTAATAATATTCATAATAATAATAACAGTTAATAAGTAAAACGTATCACCATAGTACATTTAGATTGACCACCATTTCCTTTTGTACACAGAGACCTGATTTATGAACAACAATGAATGACTTGATATTGACTCTGTCTAGTCATTCGTTGTTGTCAGCGGACAAACAGACAGGAAGATGCTTGAAATATAATATTGATATCCTTCCTCTGATACTATTATTATTGATAGTAGTAGTATTAGTGGCATTAATATTGCAATAAGATCGACTAAACTGGAACTTTGTATCCAAAAAGAACACGTCCAGACGCTGTTCCTACCGTGGCCGAACTTGGATTGATGATTCTTCTTCTCATCAAGAGTGCTCCTTCCCCTTAACCCTTTCGGTTCTTTTTCCTTTGCTTATTATCATAAATATTATTATTATTATTACTCGTCATAATTTATGCCCTTCATGCAAACATTCTCTCCATACTATCGAATTTTCCATTTATACTATCCGGACTTATTATTAGTGATATTATCTCTTTTCTCAATATATGCCTGCACCTGTTTCATTTCACACATTCGCTATTTCATTATGAACCTCTCATCGTAGTCTTACTATCTCCTGTTTAACACAGACCACTTTGTACTAGCCTCTCACCTGACACCTTTTATAACGTTGAACTGACTTGTCAGTTTTCCTACCCCACACTCTACAAATCTATTATGACTAATCACCACGACATTGTCTCCTATTTTACAATATTTTGTAGTCGATTTCAGCCTATCACGTTTGTCACACAAATACGACTATTTATTTTGACACCCCATAACTACTAATCTGTTATTCTACGTTAAAAATGTATCCACCGCATGCACAACTGGCCATTATTGTAACGACAATAAAAAATATTATATTTTATAATTGTAAGAACCTGAAGAGAAGAAATTATTCAAAAGAATATTCTTCGTTCAGATTGACTTTTAATTCATAATATGGGAATATTCCACACTATTAATATTACTAATAATTTATTCTACCTGCCATTGTTATTTCTGATTTATTTGAAACCATCCTTTATCAGTAGCATTATCTTAACTCCTTCCAACACTTATTATTATTATTATTACTCAGTTCGTATTTCTTGATGTGTCTACATTCTTTCTCTGATGACTAATTGTTTATTTAACCGACGTAATTGAACCGTAGTGAATTTTATCTTAAGTTCGACCTCTCATACTCCCTTCGCCTTATCTATTTGAATATGACCTGAAAAACATTCACATCTGTCACTTTGCATTATTATTAATTCAGTCAAAGAAGTAGCATTAACTTAAATAGACAAAATTAATTCAATCTAGTTTATCTGCTTATCAGTCTTATATCTCCCGAAGTAATTCTCATGGTATAAATATATATATACAACATTAATAATAATAACAGTTAATAAGTCAAACATATTGTGGTGATGTGATACAGACAATGTGTTCCAACAGCATATTATTCTCATATATTCCCACAGTTCAATACTGCCTTAGCAACAGAATACGGTATATCTATTTGAACATTCTATTCCATGTCGTTTAATGTAAGCCAAAATCATACGCTCAATGATTGGTTAGAGAATATAAAGCTGTATTTATATCAATAGCAGTCAGATTACTTTAGAGTATACCTTGGCTTCCGCGTTTTACCTTCTGCTGTTACAAACAATATTATCATGGTAGATTCAGAATGACCACCATTCACTCCTGCACACAGACACCTGCTTTAACAAACTGTAATGCATAAGCCTCCACAAATGCAAGCATTGTTGTCGGCAGTCGAAGAAACACTGAGATGTTTGCAGTTGTGGAGGCTTGTACAATTCGAGTTTATATTCAGATTCTTTTTCTGATAACTAACTGTTTATTTAAGTGGTGTAGTTGAACTATTATGTATTTTATCTCCATATTAATATCTCATACTCTTTTTCCCCAACTTATCTATCTGAACGGGATCTGAAAAACATTCACACCTGTTGTTTCACATGACAGATTCAATGGAGTTTTTTTCAATACTCATCAGTCTCATATTTCCGAATGTAATTCTAATGGTATATTTATATATCCCTGTATGTAGAGTATTCAGCAGCTGACGAGTTCTCCAAAACTAGTTGAATCCTTTAAATCCTACTTTATTAACCTTCGGTGCTTATTTTGAGCTCCTATAGGGAAATAAATGTTTCGAACTCTTGACATTAAACTTACTAAGCACCTTTCGCCAACTACTGTTGGTCATCTTAAATATTGTGGTGGACGCAATACTGATTGAGCAAATCGTTACGTCATTGCTTATTCACCTGTATAAAATACTGTACTCAAACGATAAAGAATATTGTAAGCCCAGGGAGAACATGCACCGAGAATCCTAGGATATGTAGCCAACATCCACAGTTTGTTTATATTCATACGTATATTGGGTGTATATTCAACTAATTACTTGCCAAATAATGCTTGAAAATTTAATGCACTAACAACGCCTATCTGTGGAACTTCATAGTGACAAACATAATAGGATAACAAAGAACTGTGATCAACATTCACACATTGATCAACAGGCACTGAAAAGTGAAGAAACCTCCTCAGCTATTCACACGATTTCAACACAATCAAAAAGGGTTCAAAATTCATAAAATAAGCAAAAATTAGGCTGAAAAAACAAAATCAGTTTCATCATTACTCACTGGATTATTCAACACTTGACATTCTCGAGGGTTGAATCGTTTCATTTCCACTTTCGAACAGTTTGTTTCTGCAAAATGCATAACAAAGTTCATTTGTCCATCCTACAGAATTGTTGATTACATTTCGGTTGTGTACACGGGCTTACGTTATGCCTTTTCACTCCAGTAATATTGCTTACTAGATGCCAGCTTAAACTGTCTGACAATGTATTGAAACGTCTAGCGGCTGCACTGAATATCGCCAGATCATTCGAAGCAACGGTGACATTTTTATTATTATTACCATTATCAGTAGTAGTAGCAGTAGTGGTGTGAGCTATATTATTTGTCTGATCACTTGTCGGGAGCGTAGTCAGTAGAGATTGACTGCATATTGGATTATGGCAAAAGAGTGAGAGAAATACGAGTAATGACTTTAACATAAATGGAGACTTGTGAATTTGTATTGGAGACAAATAGATGAAACCAACAGAGCTTCATATATTTATACTTGAAGTAAAGAAGATCTGAGTAGATCTTAGTCTGTCGATGTCAAAAACTTCTGCACAGGAGAAAAAATATGAAGATTGGTGGTCTCTACATAAGTGGTGTAGAGTGTTGTACCACATTTTCTAAAGTAAACATTTGAACACTGAAGGATGAAGAGGATACCCACTTGAAGTCGTTTCAATCAAGTATTTCTGTATGTATGTGTGTGTGCCTGAGTGTGTGCATGATTGTGCGCATTAGCTAACTCTCACATAATGAATTGTTAATTGATATTCTCCTTGGAAAACAACCTGTTCACGTCATTATAAAATGAATAGGTGATCTTAATAATCTAATTCACTGCAGAATAAATGATTGACAGGTATTTTAGTACTGTGTGAATCTTGTCTATTAAGAACAAACTAATTACTTCCTTCAATGCACATAAAGAGTAATTCTTACATTTTAAGAGTGTAGAGAATATTGCGATTACCTGTGAAATACAAGTGTGACATCTGGTATAAGAATAAATCTAGCTGACGAGGAATGGTGCGTTTAAATTCGCACTAACAATTAGACGTCTGATTTTGTCTCTCCCATGTGTATCTATCAATTCGACTGTTCCTGTTGAGCCCGTTACATAGGCTGTACAGTTTGTTGGGCTTCTGGTCAGATTTCCTAACAATATCCTATGGGGTTAAGTAAGGGACAAACAAAGTCCAATCAAAGTTCTATTCTATCTCATCTCGTCGATACAGAACACAAGATTGACGTTAAAGAGGCTTTCAAAGTCATCTACCATATACCGACTAATCTTAATTTTACCTCAGTAGTTCGTCTGTTACACACAGCTGAGGCCATCGGAATTCACATTAGAAAGCCTAACTTATTTATCCAAAAGAAGTTGGTCTGAAACGACTTCCCTACCTTGTATTATCGAAATTATCAGAAAGAATATTCTTTGCTAGAATCTCCTTTCGTCCTATAAATGTCTGAATGGGAATTTTCGCTACATTGAAGTCAGATGTTTGACAGTGCAAATGAAAATGCAGTACATTTAGTATTTCCTGTGCACTCTACTATCCAGTTTATTCGCCTTCCTTCGAGTTCCAAGTTGAACATAAGGCTTCGAGCTGTATGCCTTGAAGTTCGAGTCACTCTTGTGTTATTTCGTTGGGTAGGCTGGCTAACCTCACGCTCAGTTTGTTTTCATTTCTGGGCTTACTGCTGGCTAAGTGAGGTTAAGGAGTGTGTCGGTAGGGAGTCGAACTCCAGACCATAAGACTGGCTAGGGTTCACAGATTCACGCATTATGCAGTGTTTTCTGTCTATCGTGTATTAGCCATTTTCTTCAGATATTCACCTTGCCTGTATGCCTCAGTGATGTTTTGCTTCAGTGCCCCTCTGTAGTGCAGATACACTGTTTCTCGGAGGATCGATAATATTGTATAAACATACATCTATGCATGGGTAGTCAGGGCAGGATTTCAATCAGTTGATTTCATTTCACCACCCCACTAACTAGGCTTTACTTATTTACTTCTCCATCGGGGTGTCAGTTTGAAAAAGAATGTGTACTTAATGCCAGTATATTGCAAGAAGGTTTCATGTGACATTAATCGGAATAAGGTGAGTTGTCGCAGTGTTCACAAAAAGTACTTATCCATGTATGAAAATAGAACAAGCAGTTCAAGGGTCTCTTTTCGTCCAATTCATTGGTCATTTATTTATCTGTATAATCACAATTACGTATTATTGAATGGTCTCAATATGTAAGGAAAATTCATTCACATTTATCTGGAAAGTCAAAAGAAGCCTCTGAAAAACGCTACACTTCTATATCCTTTACATTGCTAAGGTCATAGACCTTCGACAGGCAGCGTTGACCAAGAAGTAATTTGGAAACTAATTCAACACTACGGTGTGCAGTGCACAAGTCTTTATTAACCTTTTTTAACACCTGGAAATATCACAGTGCCGAGTGTCAGGTGATCCACAAGGGAAAACTCACTCAACGAAGCCACTGAAGTGAATACAGCAGTAAGACAAGCTGGCTGTCTATCATCACCGATGATATTCCTAATTGTGGTGGACTGGATTATGCGGAAGACTGTGGAGAGCGAGGAGACAGGAGTACGCTGGACCACTGATAGGAAGCCTCTAGAAGATCTGGATTTCGCGCGTGGATGATTCATGTTTAATGTCACAAAAATTCAAAGACTTACAGGTGAAAACGAACAAACTGGCTGAAGAGGCTGGCTGGCAGCGAAGACAGGACTCCAGGTGAAGATAGAGAAGATGGAGGTGACGAAGATAACCAGCGAATAGCAACAGCAACAACAACCAGCAGCAGCAATCACCATCAACGGGAGAGATTTAACAGAGGTTACTTCCTTCATTTATCTAGGAGGCATTGTTTCAACAACAAGGGGAATAGTTGAAGATGTCAAAGCCAACCAGAATCGGAAAGGCAAGGTACACCTTCATCAACCTGAAGCCTCCATACAAATCTAATGTACTCAAAAAAAGAACAAAATCAGTTGGGATTTTCATCACCAATGTTGAATCAGTCAGTCAGTCAGTTCTATACGGGTCAGAAATTTGACTCATCAGTCACGAAAAGCATTTCCAACTGGCTGTTTCAGACTTTTATCAGCATTTACCTTCGCTGGCTCCATATCGAAGACCGATTGACCAGCCAGAAAGAATTAGCAAAAATAAACTATGGGAACAAACTAACCAAGAACCTGTAGTTTAACAAATATGTAGGAGAAAGTGGAGGTGGATATGACACCCACCAAGAAGACTGCCTAGTGACATCGCATACCAGTCAGGCACTCAAGTGGAACCCCAGTAGGAAGCGACGAGTGGGTCTTTGGTGCGAGGGTGACATGGAGGAGATCGTGCGACGAAGAGATGAGAGATTATGGGCAATCGTGGGCCCAGCTTAAGAAGACAGCAGAAAATAAAAACAAACACCTCGAGTACAATTCTGAGTTAAAATGTTATCAATATTTTGTTTATCATACTATGATATGCACCACTCATACAAAATTAATTAACACTATTTTTGTAGCTAGCCTTTTTCTTTCTCTTCTCTCTCTCTTCATTAAAATCCAATTATTTCTGAATGTTTTTTCATATTACGCAATCTTAATCTAAAATTATTAATCTTCACTCCCCCCCTCCGATATCCCTAGTTACAATGGGATTCTTCATTAATGTTTCGAAATATTTTGATGACGTAAGCAATGCTTCAAACTAATTTTTATTCTTGTACTGTGTACATACACACATATAAAAACAGTTGCATACATAATAGCGATTGTACAGCTAAGTAAATGAATTTAGCGAAAAAAGAGACTCTTCACTCAACTGTTTTGTTAATTCTTATACAATGTATTAAAAGCTACAAAATCTTCTGGTTTTTAATGATCTGATATAATGTTAAAAAGCATCTCATTTGTGTAGTGTTCAATTCATATACATGGTTTTATATGCTTCAGAAAAGCTTTTTTCTATCAAAAACAAAATCTTGTTCACTATACTGAAAAGGAATTTATTGATCATAGGAGCTTGCCAATTACTCATAAATTTGTTGATTGAAGCCATTGGATAACACAGAGAAGTTTTCTAATGTCTATCATCCAGTCTACAACCTCCTAAAACCTCTCAAGTGACAAATTTCACAGTGAGTCTGATTCTCCATTTGAAGATATTTAGTGGTTCAGATATAACTTGCAGTAGGATTATGTGTGTGTGTGTGATAGAATGCTTCCATCTGTGGAAATCATGACGCTGTATATGGACATTGATACTTGATCCCCAAGAACCTTCGTCATATGACTAACACACTGACTTCCTCTCTCACATTCCTGAATTAATATTTAAGTAACTATCTGAACAGATGTCATTTCAGCGTAAACTGTAGGTTAAGAAAACATAATCCTGTCTACAAATCATAAGTTATGTCAATGAAATCTCTTCCAAGACATTTTTCACAAGACGGCTAGCACTGTTCCCATCAAATATATTTCATGTTTCCTATTGACTACGTTACGCCGATGAAATCAGTCATATTGGCCAAGTCATGCAATATTTCAAAAATTAACCACCACTTGAAAGCATTGAATGGATCAGTGTTTTCAGTCAATGACACCAAAATTTACAAATGGAAGATCTAGTACTAGTAACCATAGACATCTTGTTTTATAATCAGCTGAGATGAACGTAAGCTTTGTTTATTTCAAAGCGTTGATGAACAGCAAACATCGTCAAGAATGCAAAGCCTAACGGTGAATTCAGATATGGCCGGAGTTTAAAGGAAGCTTGTCTGCATCTTATTAGATAGGAGCAAAACCAGGCTGGTTTTGAAGGAGAAGTGTTAATTCATCTCATCTATCCCTTATCACTGTTTCATTTGTATTCAGCCTTATACTACTTATCACTAGTAAGTAGTATGAGTTTATAATTTGTCTAACATGTCGTTATACCATAACTAAAATATTCAATGAATAACTCCCATAGTATTATTAAAAAGGAAAATTTCTTGAGCAAACAATCGTCTCCACTAATTCTTCTTCTCCTTCAGGCTCTACACTTATAAATCCATGTATATGAGAATACAAACAACTAATAAAGGCAAATCAAAGTTAAATCACTAACTGCATTGGATTACAAGTACAATATGGAATCAATATTCGTTTGCTAACATTGTCCGAAAACCAACAAACTAGCCAAAATAGCAGAGAAGACACAACTCCATCAATTCTATCTTCTCCATGTTCAGTTGAAGATAACCAATCATCATCAACAAGAACAAGCAGCAGTCACTTTCAACGGAAGGAATTTGAAAGAGGTCACATCCTTCACATATCAAGGAAGCATCTTTCCAACAAGCAGTCAGCACGGGTAAGGATGTCAAAACCAACCTGAATCAGAAATTCATTACTGTGAAATCGGTTCCTAAGTCCTCTGCACTCT